AGTGACATAGGCATTATGCTAACTGCTGGTTCCCTCTTTTTCTTTTTTTTTTGAGAGATTTTTGCCACAGGGCTTGTGAGCTTGCCAGAGAGACAGAGAGAGAAAGTGAGAAATCACCCCCCAGGGAAAAGGCCATGCCACAATCCCTTCTCTTTCATTCTGTTTCTGAGATCTCACACACCTGGCATGAGTTTGAAGCCACCGTATCTAGGACTTGAACCAGGGTTGGTCACAAGGGAGTCCAGCAACATAACCACTATGCCATCTGCTGGCCCCTTCTGTGAACTTTTTGAAGTATTCTGGTGAATATTTATATGTCTGTGTGTGTGTGTATATATATATATGTGTGTGTGTGTGTGTGTGTGTGTGTGTGTATGCAGACATATATATCCAACAAATTCTATATATGAGATCTTCAAAAAGTTCAAGGAAATACATATAATGAAAAATTATGCATTTCAATTTTTTTGCCCCCAAATAAATGCATATTTTAATTTCATTTTCCATGAACATTTCAAAGTCCCCTCATATTACAGATGTGTTCATTTTTTCAACAAGGAAAAGATCAGTAAACCAGTTTAGAGAGACTTGAAAGGTACTTCACTAAAAACGTTTATCCAACAAGCATGTCAAAGTACACCGAACCTCAGCGTCATCAAGGGAACACCAATTAAAACTCAACGAGATACTTGGGACCAGCAGATGGTGTAATGGGTACGTCAGTGGACTCACATGTAGTCAATCTCGATTGGAGTCCCGGACCTGGTGGCTTAAACTTAACGCCAGGCATGTGTGCGTGCATGCTCAAGATCCTGAGAGGAGAATGGAGGAGAAAGGATTGCAGCCGCGGGGGGGTGATTTTTCACTTTCTATCTGTCTATCTCTCTCTGTCTTTCTGGCGAGCGCCCGTGCCCTCAAAAACAACAACAACAACAACAACAAAAACTCAACAAGATACTGAGCCGGCAGGGGGCATGGTGGTTAAGGGTGCTGGACTCCTACATGGGCAACCGTGGTTTGAGTCCTGGACCTGGCATCTTGCTTTCTCACACACTCTCTCTCTCTCTCCCTCTCTCTCACTCTGTCCCTCTCTGATCAAAATTAAAAAATAAAATAAATGAAGTCAAATAAAATAATTATTTAAAAATAAACCCAAGAACTCAACAAGATACTATTACAAATACACTCATCCACAGAATGGCTAAAATTAAAAAGAATAACCAAACCAAGTGTTGGGAAGGTGTGGAGTAACTGGGACTTTTATACCCAGCTGATTAGAGCGCACATTAGTGTAACTGCTTTGGAAACTGTTTGAACTCTGTGATAGTTGAAAACGTGCATCTCCTATGGCCCAGCAATTCCACTCCTAGGTTTACACCCAGCAGAAATGTGTGTTTACCAGAAGTCATTCACATGAATGTTATGGCTGATACGTGAGCTGGGCTTTCTCCTTCCACTAGAGACCCTCCCCTTCTTTCCCCTAATTATCTCTGCCTCCTGTGCCCAATGCCATCCTTCACTAATGATGTACTCTTGTCATTTCCAGGCTGGGAATCTCTTTTGCCTACTATGGAGTTATCCTGGCCAGTGCTGAGCTGCTGGAGCGGGACTTGGTCTGTGGTTCGAAGTCTGAGTCTGAGGTGGTGGTAACTGTGGGGGGCTCAGAGGAGAGCCAGAGCCCCTGCCACTGTCACATGTTTGCTCCCTCCGACTACAAGACTATGATCATTAGCACCCTTGGCGAAATTGCTCGTAAATGTCTCTCTGTGTGTTGGGTCTCTGAGTGTTTCTGGTGGGGTACGGGCAGCCGAGTCTCAGGAGAGCATTGTGACCCTGTGACATGGTGCTTGCCCAGCCATCTGCTGGTCCCACAGCTTGATAGCTTTCAATCAGCAGCACAATTTCTGTTTTAGTAGACATAAAATGTTGGTAATTAAAAATCAGTGGCGGGACCATCAGATGGCATAATGGTTACGTCACTGGACTCCCACATAGTCGACTGCAGTTCGACTCCTGGACACAGCAGTTTAAAATTTACACTGGGCACGTGTGCATGCATGCCCAAAATCTTGAGAGGAGACTGAAGGAGAAGGGACTATGGTGTGGGCATCCCCCCTGGGGGGCGATTTCTCACTCTCTGTTTCTGTCTCTCTGGTGAGTGCATGTGCCCTATTGCAAAAACCTGTCTTGGGAACCAGCAGTTAGCGTAATGGCTATGTCACTGGACTCCCACGTAATCGAGCGCCATTCACATCCCGGACCCAGTGGCTTAAAACTCACGCTGGGCGTGTGTGCGTGTGTGCCCAAGATCCTGAGAGGAGAATGGAGGAGAAGAGATTGCGGCGTGACCATCCCTCCTGGGGAGTGATTTCTCACTTTCTGTGTCTCTCTGTCTCTCTCTGTGTGTCTGGTGAGCTCACGCGCCCTATAGCGAAAACCTCTCCACAAAACAAAACAAAACAAAACAAAACCTGTCTTAAAATAAATAAATAAAAATTCAGTGGCACCTCAAACTTGATGAAAATAGTATAAAATAATTCAAATATAAGTTTGGTGAGGCAGTAATTGACAAGAGACCAGGAGGATAATGAGCCTCCCGGCGTGGAGTACCCTAGAAGGTGCCAGCGTGCATCAGTCTTGGACCCACGTGGGAAACAGATTGATGGGGCTTTGAGGTTGACAATGTGATCGCGGAGTTGGTAACTGCTGCGTAGTTCCAAGGTTCAGACGCTCTCTTTGCCATTTGTTTTCTAGTGAACCCTGTGAACATCCTGGGCATCAACCTCCTGGGAAGACGGCTGAGTCTTTCCATCACCATGGGATGCACAGCCCTATTCTTCCTGCTCCTCAATATTTGCACATCGAGGTACTTTGTCATTGCTTCAGGACTAGCAGGCTTTGGGTGGTGGTTTTAGAATGGGGTCTCCTGCTGTGTGGTGTTCAGAGGGGTCAGGGACAAGCCCTTTCCACCAGGGGAGTAGAGACTGGGCTACTGGTTGGATGACGCCATCTTGCCTGGAACCTGCACCCCCGTTTCCCCCTTCCTGCCACCCCTGTCCCTCTGCAGCTGTCACAGGATGTGGGCGCCAGCATCGGGTGACTCACTTCAGCCACTGAAGTACTTAGGCTCTTTAAGCAAAGTGTCTCAGATAATCAGGACTCTTATTGTTTACCAAATGATCTGGGCCAATGCTAAGATGGTTTAGGGAGAGAATTAATTTTATTCCAAATTTGTAATCCTAGAGCAATAATATATACCATTCATTCTGCCGAGTACATACACCATTTGTTGAGGGTGGTGGCAGAAGCTAATCTGGGGACCAAGATGGACCCCAGGAATGGAGAGGGCAGCATTGGGAGGTTTGGTCTGGGACCCCTCATTCGACAGGCAGCACCTCCCTCGGGCTCTGTGTTATCTGTGGGCGCATCTTAGCACCTGTGGCGCACTGGAGCGGGCCACGGAAAGGCCCCTGCTGTGCCTTCTGTAATGTCCCTCTGCTTCCTGTTCCCTAGTGCCGGCCTGATTGGCTTCCTCTTCATGCTGAGGGCTCTGGTGGCAGCCAACTTTAACACCATCTACATTTACACCGCTGAGGTTCGTTTTCATGAAGGGGTTAGTGATGTATGGGTGCGAAGTGAGCTACTTAGAGCGGGTGTCCGTCCCCAGATGCATCCCTGGCTTCTGTGGACTATTAATGATTTTCTAAAACCATCCCATTCAAAAGACACCTAAAAGTTTACTAGTAGGGATGTCCCTCTCCTGTCAGTCTATTGAAAACCAATCTTGGAGAAGAAACTTAGGGCTGTCTTTGTTACGTACAGAATGCTTGTAAAAAGTGCCATACCGGGGCGCCATGCTTCCAGAGGGAGTGGTCGGGTATAATGTTGCTGTTGAAATGTAAACCTCCCTACTTCTCTCTCTCTTTGAAATTAGAATGTATTTTTCACCTTTATTCTTTTATTTATTTTTGCTATAAGGCATATGTGTTCCCTGGAGAGACAAAGAGAGGGAAAGTGAGAATCACCCCCCCAGGGAGGACGGCCACCCCACAACCTCTGTTCCTCTTTGGATTTTGGGCACGTACACACACGTGCCCGATGTGATTTTCAAGCTGCCGGGTCTGGGACTCGAACCATGGCTAGCCATATGGGGTCCAGCTGCCTTCACCTCCACGGTACCTGTTGGGCTCTCATCTTTATTCTTTTGGAAGATCAATTCTCCCTCCTTCTGTTATTTGCTGCATGTACCTTAAATTCAAATACCATTGTGGTTTACTCTTTACTCATTAATGAATTAAATTAATTCATCTGCTATATACTAGAGACTACTAGAAGTAGCTGGAGATTTCCTCATAGATCCTCACTTTAAAGAGCTAGAATTTCTAGGGGACCAGCAGGTGCTGTGGTTAAGGCGCTGGACACTCCCATGTGGCTGACCATGGTTCGAGTCCCAGACCTCATGGCTTGCTTTCTCACTTTCTCTCTCTCTGGTCAAATTAAAATAAACTAATGAATAAATAAAAATTAAATAATTTTAAAAAGAAAAAATGTATATATATATATATATTTTTTTTTTTTTTAAAGAGCTAGTATTTCTAGAATTAAACTATATTTGAGTGGGCACTGTAACAGTGTTTTAACTTGTTTTATCATTCATTGAACTGGAGGAAACAGTGCTACTGGGACCAATAATGCCACCTTCATTTTCATCTCAGTAAATGGAAAAGTCTGTTCTGATTAAATATTTGACCTATCAAAAACCATTAAAGCCACAGAGGAAAGCACTTTCTTTTCCTTCTACACAGATAAAAATAGGAAATTATGAGATATTAGAGCTATATATAATACTTCACTAGGTTCATTAAACAGTAGATTTGGCAAAAAAATTACCATGAATTTATGAACCTCAAAAAAAATCTGTGTGTAACTTGGTGTGCTTATAAAATTGTACTTGGAATATTCAATTGAACATATATTTTGAAATTTGCTCAATTTGAAATCATTGCGAGGTATTTTGCTTTTTGCATCTACTGTTAAAATTCAAAGATGTATAACTAAAAAAATGAGAGTCTTCTTTTATTCTGTCTCCAGACAATTCAAAACACAAACAGAAGACTTTATTGCTTTTAGAGCTGAGAAAAGAACATTGCCATATATTGAGATTATTTTCATTTACTCAGCAGCCTCATTTCCAGAAACTAAATGAATAAATGAAGCGCCCCACAAAAACACTCCGCCCCAACCTTCTCCTTTCAATACAGGTCTTCTGAGGCAGGAAGGCACCTGCTCTTGGATTTGACCCGTGGTGGCTGAAACGGCGCGGCCGACTGGCGGGCTACACGCTTTGCTTCCGTAAATGGATAACAACTGTCTCACGGGGATTTTATAGCACAAAGAATGTGTGCCAAGGCCAGGCCCGTAGTCTAGTGGTTAACCATGATTCTAATCCTGATCCCGGCATACTGAAAAACACAAAAGGCTTCTGTGTGTGTGTGCATGTGCAGAATCCCAAAGGGAGGAGAAAATGGAGGACAGGGGATCCGGCATGGCCACGCGCCATGTGGCAAGCTTCCTCCCTCTTCCTTTGTCTCTCTTGGGTGCGTGCACAACAGTCTCTGGCAATTTAGGGGAAAAAAATCCCAAAATTTTGAGTAAACTTTTTCTATAAAGTATCCTTCCTACAATTTTATTTACTAAAGAATAAAGTGCTGACATTTTAAACTCCTTCCAATTCTCATAAGAATTCTCTTTTTTTTTTTTTTGGAGAGGTTTTCGCTATAGGGCGCGTGCGTTCGCCAGACAGACAGAGAGAGACATTAGAGACAGAAAGCGAGAAATCACCCCCCAGGGGAGATGGCCACACCACAATCCCTTCTCCTCTGTTCTCCTCTCAGGATCTTGGGCATGCACACACATGCGCCCGGCGTGAGTTTTAAGCCACTGGGTCTGGGACTCGAACCACAGTTGGCCATGTGGGAGTCCAGCCATATAGCCATTATACTAACTGCTGGTCCCTCATAAGAATTCTCTTTTAAAAATAATTATTTATTTAATTCTGTTATTATTAATAAGTATACCAAAGAGAGAGACAGAGAGAGAAAGGGAAAGTGGAAAGCAAGATGCCAGGTCTGGGACTCAAACCACGGTCAGCCATGTGGGAGTCCAGCCATATAGCCATTATACTAACTGCTGGTCCCTCATAAGAATTCTCTTTTAAAAATAATTATTTATTTAATTCTGTTATTATTAATAAGTATACCAAAGAGAGAGACAGAGAGAGAAAGGGAAAGTGGAAAGCAAGATGCCAGGTCTGGGACTCAAACCACGGTCAGCCATGTGGGAGTCCAGCCATATAGCCATTATACTAACTGCTGGTCCCTCATAAGAATTCTCTTTTAAAAATAATTATTTATTTAATTCTGTTATTATTAATAAGTATACCAAAGAGAGAGACAGAGAGAGAAAGGGAAAGTGGAAAGCAAGATGCCAGGTCTGGGACTCAAACCACGGTCAGCCATGTGGGAGTCCAGCCATATAGCCATTATACTAACTGCTGGTCCCTCATAAGAATTCTCTTTTAAAAATAATTATTTATTTAATTCTGTTATTATTAATAAGTATACCAAAGAGAGAGACAGAGAGAGAAAGGGAAAGTGGAAAGCAAGATGCCAGGTCTGGGACTCAAACCACGGTCAGCCATGTGGGAGTCCAGCCATATAGCCATTATACTAACTGCTGGTCCCTCATAAGAATTCTCTTTTAAAAATAATTATTTATTTAATTCTGTTATTATTAATAAGTATACCAAAGAGAGAGACAGAGAGAGAAAGGGAAAGTGGAAAGCAAGATGCCAGGTCTGGGACTCAAACCACGGTCAGCCATGTGGGAGTCCAGCCATATAGCCATTATACTAACTGCTGGTCCCTCATAAGAATTCTCTTTTAAAAATAATTATTTATTTAATTCTGTTATTATTAATAAGTATACCAAAGAGAGAGACAGAGAGAGAAAGGGAAAGTGGAAAGCAAGATGCCAGGTCTGGGACTCAAACCACGGTCAGCCATGTGGGAGTCCAGCCATATAGCCATTATACTAACTGCTGGTCCCTCATAAGAATTCTCTTTTAAAAATAATTATTTATTTAATTCTGTTATTATTAATAAGTATACCAAAGAGAGAGACAGAGAGAGAAAGGGAAAGTGGAAAGCAAGATGCCAGGTCTGGGACTCAAACCACGGTCAGCCATGTGGGAGTCCAGCCATATAGCCATTATACTAACTGCTGGTCCCTCATAAGAATTCTCTTTTAAAAATAATTATTTATTTAATTCTGTTATTATTAATAAGTATACCAAAGAGAGAGACAGAGAGAGAAAGGGAAAGTGGAAAGCAAGATGCCAGGTCTGGGACTCAAACCACGGTCAGCCATGTGGGAGTCCAGCCATATAGCCATTATACTAACTGCTGGTCCCTCATAAGAATTCTCTTTTAAAAATAATTATTTATTTAATTCTGTTATTATTAATAAGTATACCAAAGAGAGAGACAGAGAGAGAAAGGGAAAGTGGAAAGCAAGATGCCAGGTCTGGGACTCAAACCACGGTCAGCCATGTGGGAGTCCAGCCATATAGCCATTATACTAACTGCTGGTCCCTCATAAGAATTCTCTTTTAAAAATAATTATTTATTTAATTCTGTTATTATTAATAAGTATACCAAAGAGAGAGACAGAGAGAGAAAGGGAAAGTGGAAAGCAAGATGCCAGGTCTGGGACTCAAACCACGGTCAGCCATGTGGGAGTCCAGCCATATAGCCATTATACTAACTGCTGGTCCCTCATAAGAATTCTCTTTTAAAAATAATTATTTATTTAATTCTGTTATTATTAATAAGTATACCAAAGAGAGAGACAGAGAGAGAAAGGGAAAGTGGAAAGCAAGATGCCAGGTCTGGGACTCAAACCACGGTCAGCCATGTGGGAGTCCAGCCATATAGCCATTATACTAACTGCTGGTCCCTCATAAGAATTCTCTTTTAAAAATAATTATTTATTTAATTCTGTTATTATTAATAAGTATACCAAAGAGAGAGACAGAGAGAGAAAGGGAAAGTGGAAAGCAAGATGCCAGGTCTGGGACTCAAACCACGGTCAGCCATGTGGGAGTCCAGCCATATAGCCATTATACTAACTGCTGGTCCCTCATAAGAATTCTCTTTTAAAAATAATTATTTATTTAATTCTGTTATTATTTTTAAGTATACCAAAGAGAGAGACAGAGAGAGAAAGGGAAAGTGGAAAGCAAGATGCCAGGTCTGGGACTCAAACCACGGTCAGCCATGTGGGAGTCCAGCGCCTTAACCACTACCTCACCTCCCGGGCCCCCTATCATTATTACTAGTTTTTTTCTTTTTGGAGACTTTTTTTTTCTATAAGGTGCATGCACTTCCCAGAAAGAGAGAGAGAAGCGAGGAATCACCCACCCGGGGGGATGGCCACGCTGCAATCCCTTCTCCTCCTTTCTCCTCGCAGGATCTTGGGCACGCACGCACATATGCCTGGCGTGAGTTTTAAGCCACTGGGTCTGGGACTCGAACCACAGTTGACAACATGAGAGTCCAGCAACATAGCCATTATTCCAACTGCTGGTCAACTTATTATTATTATTTTTTTAATTTGACTATAGAAAGAGAAAGGGAAAGTGAGAAAGTAAGAGACCAGCAGATGGTATAGTGGTTATGGTGCTGGATTCCCACATGGCCAACTGTGGTTTGAGTCCCAGACCTGATGGTTTGAAACACGTGGGGCACAGTGCATGTTTGCCCAAAATCCTAGAGGAGACTGGGGGAGAAGGAACTGTGGCATGGACATCCTCTCTGGGAGCTGATTTCTCACTTTCTATCTCTCTGTCTCTCCAGTGAGTGCACGTGCCCTAATAGCAACAATCCCTCTTAAAATAAATAAATACTTGAGAAAGTAAGCTGTCAGGTCCAGGACTCGAACCACAGTTGGCCATGTGGGAGTCCAGTGCCTTAACCACCACGCCACCTGCCAGCCACGTAGAAGAATTCTTTTTTTTTTTTTTGATAGGTTTTTGCTATGGGTGCATGCGCTCACCAAACAGAAACAGAGAGACAGAAAGCAAGAAATCACCCCCCAGGGGGGATGGTCATGCCACAATCCCTTCTCCTCTGTTTTCCTCTAGGGATCCTGGGCACGCACGCACATGTGCCTGGCGTGAGTTCTAAGCCACCGGGTCCAGGACGCGAACCGCGGTCGACTACGTGGGAATCCAGCGACATAGCCATTTTCGCTAACTGCTGGTTCCTCGTAAAAGAATTCTTAATGAAATACAGATTCACGAGGTTTTACTATATATGTGAACAATTTGCAGTAAGAAAGTAGAGACTGCAACAGCAAAGAGACCAGTGACGTTAGTGAGGACACGTGAACAGTCTAGCCAGGGCCTGACCTTCTAGTCTGTTCTTTTCACTGTGTGTATTAAAATTTCATAGGCTCGTTATTTTTAGGGGAATAGTCTTTTTCCATCCGGCGGAACCACTTTTAATATATTTATAGCTCTAAAACAGAAATCTTCTGTCTGATCGCAGAGCTAATTTTCTAAAATTACATCTAGAATATTCAGTTAAATCCATAGTTTTGGCATTTGCTCATTTAAAGGTTTATTTCTGGTGTTTTGTTTTTGGTGATACAGTGTTCAAAAAGTTCATGGAAAAGGAGTACTGTGAAGACATAGCGTACAGATTTCAATTCTTTCTTTTGCACCAAACTTGTTCTTTTGTGTTTCCATGAACTTTTTGAAGATTCCCAAGAATTCTTTGTTTCACAAATTCCAAGTTGTGTACCTGAAGAAAACCAACACCTTCTGTTTCCTGTTCTACAAGTCAACATGGGATCCTCTGTACAGAGGAAAATTCCAGAAGGGCGATCGATACTGGAACTGACCGGGCTGTCTGCGTTTCCCCCTCCAGGTCTACCCTACCACGATGCGCGCCTTGGGGATGGGAACCAGCGGCTCCCTGTGTCGCATTGGTGCGATGGTGGCACCATTTATATCCCAGGTAAGGCCAAGAAGTGCGGACAGGGAGAGGGAGTCTGAGCCAAGTGTGGACAGGGGGACCCTGGCTGTGCAGGGAACGGGGGACACAAGCAAGACTGCCCCCTTGTGGCCAGACTTAACTTGTCTCATCAAATGAGTCCAGCATCCAAATAGAGCATTGAAAAGCATTTTAAATCTACAGAACTCCTCAAAGGGGTGTCAATGGGGACATCCATTTATAACCGCTGCAAATGTTTACACATCTTCGCCTGCTTTTGTTGTCACCAATGGGCATAGCAGTTGTCTTGATCTCTAGACTTGTCCCTTCAATCACGTTACCCCCAAACTTCATCAAAACACAGCTGAGCTGGCTCATTTCTGGCCTCCGATCCAATTTCCCCAGATCTATCCATTTGTTTTCTCTTGAGAAGCGCCTTTTGCTAACGAGAATTATTTAGCCTCTCAGGATTCAAAAGGAAGCAGGATAGATACACTTAGACTCTTGGTCAAGAAGTTGGAGAGCCTTTTATTTAGGATCTCCTTTTGATACCCTACTCAACAAGTTGTTTCTGGAGTAATTTGGAAATTGTAGAGACCACTTTATACAGTTTGACAGGACACCCAAAAGGACTCAGTGACAATCTAGCTTAGACAGGGTAGAATGAAGAATTATTTTATCCCAATCGAACATTTGACTAACATTTATTGAACATCTATAACATGCTGGCATTGTCCTCATTCTGTGTATTTCAGAGGTAAATAAGCCAGACAAATTTTCAGTAGTATGTGAGCTGGCCTATACTGGCTTGTGAAACTGATTATTAAATTTTTAGGACATGTTGCCAACTGGTTAAGGTCACATTATAGTTTGAGATGACCATAGCGGTAGTATTTACACCATGGAAATTGGCAAACACTACAAGTCAGGACATTTAACTTTTTGAGAACCTTTTGTGAAAGATTTGACAAGAAATCACCACAAGACTCCTACCCTCAAGAAATTTATATTTGAGTTGGGTACTTTATAAAAATGCAAAATATTAAGATAATTTCAGATTGTGATTAGTACTTTAGAGGTAATATGAACATGAGTAAAAGAAGTGAGGGACTCTTTTAGGCATATCCTCTCTAGAAAGGAGACACTGGAGTTGAGACCTGAAGTATGAGAAGTTGAAAACTATCCCAAAGGAAATAGAATTTCAAGTAGAATGACAACTGGAACAAGGGTTTGTCGGTGGGACAGAGATTGGTGTGTTCTAGGAAAAGAAAATAGCCCTAGTGAGCAAAATGGAAAGCAGCCCAGGGACAGAATGTGCCTCACAGACAATTAAGTAGACTTTGGATGTTTATCACAAGAATGGCGGGGAATCCTTTAAAAGTTTTAAGCAAGTGAGTGCTATGATCAGTTTTACATTGTTTAAAACATCACTCTGGTTGTTGTACAGAGAGTAAATTGGAGGAATGCCAGGGTGGAACAGGCTTATAAGAAGACTAATTTTACATTGTCAGGTACTACTGACTGGAAAAGGAAGATTTTAGAATTGTGTAAAACTTACTAATAGTATAAAGATATAGAAAAAGGTAGGAACCAGCAGGAGGTATTGTGGTTAAAGGCACTGGGCTCCCACATAACCAACTACGGTTCAAATCCTGGACCTGGAGACTTGCTTTCTTGCTTCCCCCTGCCCTCACTCTGTCCCTCTCTGGTCAAATTAAAATAATAAATAAATAAATAAATAAATAAATAAAGTTAAATAAAATAATTCTTTTAAGAAAAAAGTGGTAAATTCACATAAATGTTTTACATTTCTCTGCATAGTAAAACATGTCTACCATAGGTAAGGATGAAAGATAAAACTTAAATAATAAATAAAATGAAAAAAAAAGATAAAACTTAATATTTCAAGGGTCTCCAAAAAAAAAAAAAAAAGGAAAATTTGGGACTAGCAGATGGCAAAATGGTTATATCACTGGACTCCCACAGTCAGTCGACTGCAGTACGAGTCCTGGACCCCAGTAGCTTAAAACTGACGCAGGGCACGTGGGTGTACATGCCCAAGATCCTGAGAAGAGAATTGAGGAGACGGGATTGTTCTGTGGCTATCCCCTCTGGGGGATGATTTCTTGCTTTCTGTCTCTCTGGCAAGTGTATGTGCCCTATAGCAAAAATCTCTCCTAAAAAAAAAAAAAAGAAAAAGAAAAAAACTAATTTAATTCTCACAGCTGAGAATTTTTTTCTTAAAAGAATATTCATTTCTTTCATGAGTGAATGAATCAGTGACAGAAACAGAGATAGCCTGATACTTGGTCCACAAATAGGGTCTTCCTGCCAAGACCCACTCCCAGCCTCAGCCAGACCTGGGTCGTGGGCACACAGGTGCCTAGCACACTCAGCGAAGTCTCCAGACGTGAGCCTCGAAACCCTCCCATGTGGGTCTGCCTCATGGAGTATTACACTTTACCACCATGCCACCCACCAGTAGCCCCTAGACAATGAATTTTTTATTTCAGTTTTTTAAAGAATTATTTTATCTTATTGATTTATTATTATTATCTTTTTTTCCCACATGAGTTTTGCCAGAGAAAGACAGAGAGGGAGGGAGAGTGAGAAAGCAAGCTACCAGGTCCGGGACTAGAACCGCGGTCAGTCATATGGGAATTCCAGCACCTCAACCACCACGTCCCAGACCCGGTGGCTTAAAACTCACTCCGGGCGCGTGAGGAGATCCCGAGAGGAGAATGGAGGAGAAGGGATTGAGGCGTGACCATCCCCCCTGGGAGGTGATTTCTCGCTTTCTGTCTCTCTGTCTCTCTTTGTCTGGAGAGCGCACGCGCCCTATAGCGAAAACCTCTCCAAAAAAAAAAAAAAAAAAAAGAAATACTGAATGTTCAGGTCATATTTTAATTGAAAATTTAATATTTTTTTGCTTGCTCACCCAGGTACTCAACTATTTTTCAATCTAGTCTTTAAAACATTGATTTGGGGGGCCAGCAGGTGGTGTAGTAGTTAAGGGCGCTAGACCCCCACATGGCTGACCATAGTTTGAATTCTGGACCTGGAGGCTTGCTTTCTCACTTTCCCTCTCGTTCTCACTCTATCCCTCTGTGGCCAAATTAAAAGAAAAAGTTGAATACTATCATTCTTTTTTAAAAACATTGATTTGGGAGAACGTCTATTTATCTATCTAAGGGATTTTAACCGTTTTTCTGATATATTACAACTAAAATTGTTGTTCTTTATTTTTATTTATGTTACTCTTTTTTTCTGCTCAGGAACATTAAGTTCATAGACACTCAAATTTATCAATATTTCCCTTCATTTAATTTCTGGATTCTGTCATGAAGATTATGAAAATATACATCTCTCTCTCTCTCTTTAAAATTTCTTATCAGATGTATGTTCTTTCTGGAGCGACAAAAAGAGACAGAGAGAGGGAAAGTAAGAAACCCCATAAAATGGATGGCCACGCTGTAATCCCTTCTCCTCTGGGGACACAGGGCATGGCATGCATACGTGCCCAGTGTGTTTTATAAGCTGCCAGATCCAGGACTTGAACCGACAGTCATCCACGTGGGACTCAGCCACCCCCACCACATGAGCTGGCTGGCTCCAGCTCTCTTTTCTTTCAGGCCTTCTGTGGCCCCTTTTTTCTTCATCAAGGGGAAAGAGAGTCTAAACTTCTTGAACTATAACATACATGTAGACGCGTCCACATCATAAATATCTAACTTCATATCCACAAAGTGACTGCGTCCCAGCTTGTGACCTGGAGACCCCTCACACGCTCCTTGCAGGCCATCGGAACGGACTGAGCTGTGAGGGCCGATGGAAATGACCTTATGATGTCCCACGTGGCAAGCCGGCTGTCCCGACGCCGTATTGAGCAATCTATTTTTTACCCAAGGATTAGATGGGACTGATCTCAAATTCACACAGTGACTGGATCTGTTTCTAGCTCCCTCCTTTAGCCCATTGATCTGTCTGCTTTTGTCGTCGTCATTCTCTTTCCATTACGCTGATGAAATTTATATTATAGTTTCCAAACTGCCTGTCGAGAACCCGCCGCATTGTTTTCTCGGGTACGCTTTAGAATCATTTAGTTACAGCCTGCCTGCTCTGCCTACCTATTAAGATCTTAATTGGTAATTGGTTAGATGTATCAGTTAAATGAAGAAAAATCGACTTTTTTCCTTACAGTGTTGTCCTACTGAAGAACAAGCTTATTTCTCCGTTTGCTCAGTTTTCCTTCTGTGCTCCTTGCTGGGATTTTCTTGTTTTTCTTTGGCTACATCCTGTGTGTTTAGTGTTTCGTGTATTCCTAGGCCTTTAGTGGCTTTTTGTTGCACTTGTGGATAGATTGTTTTTGTTCATTTTTACTTCTATTTTTACATTCTAACTAGCTATTTTCCTTAGAAGGCTATTGATTTTGTGTGTGTCTATTGATTTTTAAACAGCCAGCTTGCTGAACTCATTCAGAAGGTTTCTCCTCTGAGTCTCTTGGTGTTGCAAGTTTAGAATTACACCGCTTCTGTGCTCTCTATCGCGTCTGGACGCTGAGTGCTCCAGTTAGCATTTGAATGTGCTTCAGACTCCAGTTTCCAAGCTGTAAACTCGACACGCTTCAGCTTCACTCTCGCTTTTCCCCCCCTCTCCGCCTCTCCTTTGCCCCATTCTTTCACCCCCATCCAAATCCACCAAATGATTCCTTACTTTAGAGGATTTTGCCGTAGGGCATGTGCGCTCGCTAGAGAAAGAGAGAGACAGAGAGACAGAAAGCGAGAAATCACCCCCCGACCCTCAGGAGGGATGACCACACCGCAATCTCTTCTTGTCCATTCTCCTGGGATCTTGGACACACATGTCCACACACCCAGAGTGAGTTTCAAGTCACTGGGTCCAGGCTTCAAACCATGGTCACCTAAGTGGGAGTCCAGAGACATAGCCATCTGCTGGTCCCCAAATGATTCTTGATCAGGGTTTGAAGACCCTCCTGTCTCTAAATCAAAAGCTGCTTTAAGGCT